TTCATTTTGATTGCTTTATTTCTGGCCGATACTTTTATCAAACGTTCAATCAATTTACATTTATTACTAATAATAAATATTTCCACAAATTTTCGATGGAGTTGGGGTGTATCATAATTTTCCAAGTATCAATACATCATAAAAAAATAAGAAAAACTCCGTTTAACTCGATTTTCATTTAAGAATCAATGATATTTATGTAAAGTCATCAATTTATGCGAGTGCCTCTAATAATTTGATCACCCACTGTAGATAGAACAGGATCTATAAAATTAGGCGCGTTAGAATTCTGTAATTTAATCTCTGCGTTAACGAACGTGATATTAATACACGTAACAAATAACGTAGAGTTATACAATGTTTCTCGAGACACCCTGTATGCAGTCGCATGTTGGTGTGCATAGAGGTCGTTCCACACGAGAGATCACGACACGTAAGACCCCAGATATTTTAAGACTATAGCTTCGAGTATCCCGAGAAGGATTGCGATGAAGATAAGACTTTTATTTTTAATTCATAGAATCGATCGCTTAGATTTGATATTTAATTTTTTTAATTTCCTGCCTTTTCGAAAACGCGTTAATTCGTTCGTTGTTGCGTCGCACGGTGTGAAATCACCTTAAAGAAAGGCAATGGCAATCCTGGTGGCTGGAATATTGCGTTGGTGAATCGGTTATGTAGGTACCAGCGTACAACCTGCGGTGCAACTTGTCAGCCAACATCATTATCGATGCCTGCTCGGCTCGGCTCGGCTTCGCTTCGCTTCGGTTCGACGCGGTGCCTCGCGTTTATTGCCACTCTGTTATTTATATCTCGCTCAGCTTGGCAATAACTAATAGAGATCCTTGCCTTTTACTCTCTGCCTAGCTATCACGGCTCGGTTACGTTTCACCGTCCGTTTTACTGCACCCTTCGAACCTTTTCTTTTCAAGAAAATGGAGATACACGTTTCTTGTTCTTGGTCAGCCACGATTAATAGAGTCGATTGCGTTGACAGGAAAATTGGAGGGACGTAATACGACGAGTCACGCCCTGACTCATTTAGACTTTTCCACAGGATCCTTCAAATTGTCCTGCCAAATAATGAATTGGTAAAGGTCGTTGAGGTGTAAATTCACGTTATCAGTCGCTCTTTTAACTACAAAGAGCGCGTACGTTTATCTAATTAGCTCTCCCTCGAAACTAAGAAGGAAACTATTTATCAAGTTCTATCAATCAATCTTTCGCTATCAGCCACAGTTAAACGTCCCAATCATACGGTTAGTCTAACGAGTCTACGAAGAAGCTGGCGAAGGAAGAACGATTAGAGTGCGTGCATAGATTGAAGTAGGTGCATAGCTATGTGAAAGTTGAAAAGAGGAATGACAACGGAGGGTAGAGACCCCCGGACCGAGCGACCATGTGGTTCGCACGTGTTCCTTCGCCCTCTCTGCCTTTACCCTCTTCTTTGGTGAGAAAAAAACGCGAAACGTGCCTCTCTTTCCTACACATTATACACCCTGGATGCAACGCCATATGCAACGACCACGGGACAATGTTCTCTAATTGCACGTTCGAAGACGCGGAGGATTTTTCGTGACCGCAAAAAAAAAAAGAACGTTGGTTCCGTCTGTTGTGAAGCGGTCGTCCATTTCGGTCGACCAGGCAAGAGCCACTTCCTCTTCCTTTTCGGGAGCCCGGGACACGCCTGCCGGAGCAGAGAAAGAGAGGCCATCGTTTAAGGCTTCCCGCCGGCAAAACAGAAAGCTTCGTGCCGCTTTTCTTCGACGTTCGATCGTCGATCGAATTATTTATAGGGCAACCGGGCCGAGTGCGATACAGCCTTCGATAGGGCAGAGGCGTGGGTGATGGTTGGAGCTTGGCGGAGTGCGTGTCCATGAAACGGAATGGGTTGCTAATGATGCCCTAGCTTCGGGATGGGTCTATGCTCGTCTTTTTCTGTTTGCCGTAGGACGACGAGAAGTTAATAGCGGTGTAGTATTTTTTTTCTCAATGTAACGTTGGGTCATTTGACTGTTAGTCATAGGTCCTGTACTCTAGGGGCTGAGGTTCTAAGAACTTGGGTCGTAGGAGTTCGGACCATAGAACCCTTAGCTCGTAGGGATTCGGGTCTAGAAGGACTTGGGTCCTTAGCCCGTAGTAACTTAGGACACAGGACCTTGCCTTAAAGTGCTTCGACTTATAAGATTTTAGCCTCTATTAACTTGGGCAATAGAATCTGAAGTCGCACGATCTTAAGTCATAGGACATAGGTCCTTAGCCCGTAGTAACTTAGGTCATAGGACCTTGCCTTAAAGTGCTTCGACTTATAAGATTTTAGCCTTTATTAACTTCGGCAATAGAATCTGAAGTCGCACGATCTTAAGTCATAGGACATAGGTCCTTAGCCCGTAGTAACTTAGGTCATAGGACCTTGCCTTAAAGTGCTTCGACTTATAAGATTTTAGCCTCTATTAACTTGGCCAATAGAATCTGAAGTTGCATGATCTTAAGTCATAGGACTTAGGTCCTTAGCCCGTAGTAACTTAGGTCCCAGGACCTTGCCTTAAAGTGCTTCGACTTATAAGATTTTAGCCTCTATTAACTTGGGCAATAGAATCTGAAGTCGCACGATCTTAAGTCATAGGACATAGGTCCTTAGCCCGTAGTAACTTAGGTCATAGGACCTTGCCTTAAGGTGCTTCGACTTATAAGATTTTAACCTCTAGTAACTTGGCCAATAGAATCTGAAGTTGCACGATCTTAAGTCATAGGACTTAGGTCCTTAGTCCGTAGTAACTTAGGTCATAGGACCTTGCCTTAAGGTGCTTCGACTTATAAGATTTTAGTCTCTATTAACTTGGGCAATAGAATCTGAAGTTGCATGATCTTAGGTCATAGGACTTTGGTCCTTAGTCCGTAGTAACTTAGGTCCCAGGACCTTGCCTTAAAGTGCTTCGACTTATAAGATTTTAGCCTCTATTAACTTGGGCAATAGAATCTGAAGTCGCACGATCTTAAGTCATAGGACTTAGGTCCTTAGTCCGTAGTAACTTAGGTCATAGGACCTTGCCTTAAAGTGCTTCGACTTATAAGATTTTAGCCTCTATTAACTTGGGCAATAGAATCTGAAGTCGCACGATCTTAAGTCATAGGACATAGGTCCTTAGCCCGTAGTAACTTAGGTCACAGGACCTTGCCTTAAATTGCTTCGACTTATAAGATTTTAGCCTCTATTAACTTGGGCAATAGAATCTGAAGTTGCATGATCTTAGGTCATAGGACTTTGGTCCAGAGGACCTCAACTTTATAGCCACTTAACTGGCAAGAATTCAGTCTAATGGGTCTCAGCTCCTAAGGATTTTATAGCATCTTAGCTTAGAGGAACGTACGGTGTTATCTGCTTTTATAAATCACTGTTAGTTGGCTCATTGAAATAGGGTTCCTTCGTCGGACGGGCAGTCAGCTTTACTGGTTCTTGTTCGAAGACAGAAATTAGGTTGCACTTGCGGTTTGCGGTAGCGTGAAAAGAGGTCGTTGCGCGCACTTACACCAGCCACGGTTAACAACACGATACCTGTGCACATACGCGGCTGCACAGTCGGAAAGGTGCGCATATGCACCAGGTACATGTAACACGGGTGCAGGGAGGAAAGAGGTCGATCCGTCTGCAACAGGCAAACTCCGATGAATCATCATTCTCTCGTTGAACCTGCTTTCACACGAGTCTCTCGAAGGTAATAAAAATAGCCTTTCGTATTAACACTGTTAGAATATGATGAAATTATCAGCACAGCCTGTTTGAAACAATAAATTAATTTCTTCTTCAAAGACAGGTGGAACTGTTGAATTTTATTTTATTTCAAGTTGAATCTGCTTTTTATCTGCAAAGTATTGAATATTTCCTTTGAGAGACGAGTTCAGAACGAACTTCGCTGATCTTCATGATTTTTTCGACGGTGCAAAACGTTTCTTCGTGAACGAGACTTTACACGGCATTGACCGCGCGTGGTAACTCCTAAGTAGCGTTGGCTTTGAGTCGCGTTCACTTTGAACAATTACTCGAGACTTTATACTTGTTAAAAGTTTGGATCATTGGGGTTTGAGTGGCCCTGAAACTTGCATCGTTGGAAGTTCGATGATCGGTGCTTGAATCATCGGTGCCTGGATCATAGCCATCGGTAACCACTCGAGGTTCGCGTGTGCACTGCTCTCTTTTTGCTTCTGTTCCTCTTTCTCCTGCTGTTCCACCGATCCGTCTTAATATTCGTATCCCAGGGGTCGGTGGTTTTCGCTCGCACGACCGCAAGCGGCTACTTTTCTTCTCTTGCTCGTGCGAGCGCGAAATTTATACCAGCCTGCCTGTTAATTAACGTCACCGAAAATGATCGGGTCGAGGTAGTTATTGGATGAAAAAGAACTACCTCCGAGTTACGGGACACGTGATACCAGAGATGGTATCGATAACAATACTTTCGATGTCTCTTCCTCGAGGAAGATCGAGCGATATCGGACATGAATATTTCCTTGTCCCCTCGAAACGTAATCGCTGTTGAGCGATCATTTTTACTTTAATTATGGAGAAGGAAATAAAATCATACCGCGTTGTAATGGATCGGAAGACGAGCGTCTGGTGCGGTTCGAGGCGTCAGCCTGACACGATGTCTCATTATTTGCGCTACGGAGAAATCTGTTGTCGGAACACGTATTAGCCGCGTACGTGGCGACATCCGCTAATCAAATACAAGTGTTTGCCAGCCGCGGTGTACATATTATAGAGACGTAGACGTCGTAGCTAAGGCTATCCGGGGACCCTCTGATACGCGACCGATGGCGCCGCGATAAATACGCGTTAAACGCTCTATAATTGTTCTTGCGTGAGTCGTATTCTTTTTTAAACGCAATCATTTTCACTCGAATATCAATCAAAATGAAAAGAAAATTATAGAACAGTGTAGGTAAAATATTATTACAGGACACCGTGTATACAAATTTTCATGTTTCCTTTTTTTTTTTATTAATTGATCACATAGATAAAGAAGGCTCAGGTGCGGCATCGATCGCGTCTCAATATGTACCTTTTCTTTTTTTTACACGTGGCCGGTTATGGGATCCCTATGGCACGTGAGGTACTGTTACAACGGTCTTGTTCGCCCAACGACCATCCGTGGCCCATGATCGGTCAGCTCTTGGCGACCAGTGCCGTATCGAGATACATACACCGTTAAGCAATAGAGGTTCGATATAACGACAGGGGGTTAAGTGTCGATTGGTGATCTGCATAATCATCTAATCCGAGCCTCGTTCTTTTTTCTCTTCCTTCGATTTTATTCAATTTGTAGTGTCGATCATTGGTGACTCTTAAGAGCATTCGTTAATAATGATGGGGTGTTGGAAAAATTTGAAACGAAGGAAGAAGAAGAGACTGTAGGAAGCCGAATTGGGAAAGCGTTGCTAAGAAGGAAAGGAAAGGAAAGGAAAGGAGGACATGACGAGGGTTTCTTGGTTCGTAGCAGCTGGTCAAACAACTCCCAAGCCTGTTCGGTATTCGGGGCCGGATCTTCCACAGACCCAAAGGTTGTCTTGCACGTACGAGTCGTAGGTTCCATGGTGTGAGAGGACTCCTTCCCGTCCTCGTGGTCGACCTCGAAGTTTTAATTACTCGCCAGGGTATCATCCCCCTTGCTCGACGAGCATCCTCAGGTCATCGTACGGATCGGCTTTAAGAAACCGACCGACGAGAACTGGGGACCAGCTTTCTCGAACAGAGCATCGCGAATCCCTTTGCCTCGGGGAACAAGTATATCACTGTTGCATTAGTCTGCTGGAAGTTGATATTCATGCGAATTCTTCCCTGCTGCTCGTTCGATTCGCGTTGCATTTATTTCTATGAACTTTGCTCTACTCTTCATAGGAGCTTGATTACTTAAAAGGTCATTAATCTGTGTTCAGCTCTCCCCTGAGCGCGTCTAATGATTCGATAACAAGTGTCAACTCCTCACAATGGAACCCTTGTGCTCTCAAGGGGGATGAAAAGGTCAGAACAGAAGTCACCGTGTTGATGGCTGATTTCTAAAGACCCTTCGAAATTTTTCTTTCTCTCCTTATACCTGCGAAAGGGACCCATTATCCTGTAACACCAGTGGTTCATCCTTGAGCACGTTTTTCACTCAATTAGAAAGCATTCAAAATGGAAAATCGAGGAAAGCTACTGTGGTACCCTAAGCGTATGCTCGTTATCACTTTATCTTATTATCACATTATTACTTTAGATATATCTTTATCGCTTATTGATTGGGAAAATTGATCTCGATCTTAAGTCTGGCTGTGTCGCTACTGTTTAGGGTTCTCGTAGGTTGGGCCAATAGTACTGGCCGGGGGTTGGTCGTTTAATGCTCCACTATCACACTATGTGGCATGACGGTCCACCGCCACCCTCGTATCCACCTATAACGTCGCCATCACCGCCACCACCATACTTTGTACCCGCGCTACCACCGTCCTGCCATCACCCTCGCCGTTATTCCAGACTTTGGCTGGCGAGGTGTAGGAATATAACAGCCTCGTTTTCTATAGGTCGACCGTTTGCTCGTGCCTTCCTTTCTAGCGATGACTCGAAATCGTGCTCGAAATTAATTAGTTCTTCGTTTTCGTAGTTCAGAATAGATTATAGGATGCCTGTAACAGATTATTATTATTAATATTTTAAGGGATTCTGAAGAGGCTCTGTTGGGACACGATAACAACTAAATGATAAAGCGAGAAGATAAACGATAATGGGCTACTAAGATAGTAAATAAGGCAAGGAAATGATAAGCAGAGGACTATCTTAGAAAATCCTTGTCTTAAGTAAAGACAAGGATTACTCACTTAATGTTTAATAGAAAGATTAAATTTTCGAAAGTAAACCGAGCTCGAGCGAATAGATTCGAGGACTGTTGAAAGGCATCGCTGGTAGAAGCTAACACCCTCGCAGGGCGCGGCTCAATCAATTACTACGACGAGGGTGCGGTCGTTCCTACGCCAGTTCCACCCCTTGCATGGCAACAAGCCCTCTCTGCTTTCTTTTCCCTTCAAGACCCGTTGCTTCTGCTCTTTCTAACGTTTCTTTCAAATCCTCCAGCAGTTTTGCATCCCCCCATTGGAAACGGGGAAACCCTTGAAACACCTGCAAATTGTTACAAAACTTTAATTCCAAGAATAGAACGCTATTTGAGTAACAATTGAACAGTGTTTAAAATAGATTTCTGGAATGTTAGTAATATTATCTTACTAGTTCTATATTTCTAGTGAATAATATTATCTTAGATTAGTTATTTCTTTCCAGTTCAAACATTGACGTAATCCAAAGTCTTAAGAATGATGAGATCTTCAAGGTTTCCAAGACTTTCAAAACTTTCCGCGATAACTAATTTTCCATTCTGATTCGGAGCGATTTGATTAGCATCGATACAGCTCCGTCGTTGAGTAATTAAGGGGAAGGAGACCGATTAGCCTTGCTTTTCTTGTTTCGTTTCGACCCTCGTTACGGAATTGGAGTCTGCCCCGCAGAGGATCGATCGGTTCCTTTTTCAATGGGCGAAAAGAGTCCTCCTTTTCTCGATTACCCGTTCTATCCACGTGTGTTTCATCGTCGATCGATTATTTTTACACAGGATTGCCTCATCGACGTGTACGTTTCTTCGTCGCGATCCCATTTGGACGAAAGTTTATTCCCTACCGCGATTTTCATCGTTTAAAAAAAAAAAAAAAAAAAAAAGAAGAAAAATAAAAAGATGAAGCCATAAGTTAAAATATACGAGACAAATGATCTCTTTATTTGAAAGGGGAGCGTGTCGGGATTTATTTCGCCAATAGCCTCATTTTTTCTTGCCTGTCCCAGATAAAAAAGAAAATGGAACGCGAAATCTTTTCTTTCTTCTTACGAAAGAGGAGCAGCTATTTCCGGATGGAAATTGTAACAGATTCTGGTCTTTCTAAATTGAATAACGAAATTTTCAAAGAAAAAGTTCTCACAGAAGATCTATTTGAATCATTCGATGATTGCGTGTGTGGGGGGTGGAAGTAGCGAAAGGGTTGAATTGCGTAACATCTTGGAACGTGTATAAATTCATCCCTCGACGAGGAGACGGGGAATTTATAGCTTTTGAAAGCTTTCTCTCGCATGATATACGACAAGGGACAACGAAATCGGTCCCTGACGACGCCATGTCTAAATATATCCAGCCGTGACACTTGTTTCGTGTAAATCAAGCCCGTGGACGACGAAAAAGCGGGGAAACGCGAGCGATGCTGGAAGAAACGGGTAGACAGCCACGACAGACCAAGTTGTCGCCTCTTGGATCACTCGAATGATACTTAACATTTCTTTTTTCTTTTCTTTTTTAACAAGTTGTTTAAATATTTCAAGAAATTATTTCGGCCAAAATTACTTCAACTTTTAAGCTTGAATGATTACATTTGTTCTTCGATCATTCTAAACGATCGAAGGAAGATATCATTGATCGATCACTTTCACCAGACACTGGCAAATAGATAATTTCTATTTGCTTAGCTGTTAACACCACGAATCCCGCTATCGTACAGATGTTCTTACATTATTTTTCGTCGGTTTTATCGGTGTGTTTAGCAAGACCTCGATCGATTTTTCAGCAACAGCCTTCGCAATTCGTCGATGATAAGTAAATCAACTTCTTATCATCGCCGTTATCAGTTGGAAATCTTGCGAGCCGATGAACGATAACTGACTCGATAATAATTAGTCTCGTAACAATCAGTGAAACGAGTTCATTTGTCGTTTCGCGTATAATTTAATAATGATAATATTATCGTTGAAATATTGTTGGAATTCCCTCTTTCTAATTGGAGTTTCGATTATTACTCCAACAGAGTATCATTGAAACGATATTTTCACAGCTTCTCCGATTGATTTTAAGGAATTTCACAATTTCTGGGACTTGCAATTCGATCGCAATCTGGTTTCGTTTTGTATTGGTGAAATCGTGAGCAACAAGTCGAAAGTGCACAGATAAACCAAGAGAAATGGCGAAATATATACGAAGTAACGTTGAATGTCACTTTTGCAATTTGATAACTCTTATAAATAAAATAGATAAGGATGCTGAACAGAATTCTGAACCAATCGAAGCTATAAATTCAGCAACCGATTAATCTTGAGTTAATTATATTAATTCTCGGAGAAATTTTTCAACGATTGAAGATCGTCTTGTTTAAAATAAAAAGAGAAACCATCGGGGATGAGGTCGGAAATGATTTCGAAACGCTTTGGTTCAAGATCCTCGTGCAACTGGACAATCTCCAGACGATCTATCGATCAGCGGGTCCGATCGAGATGCATAAGCAAGCGATCTCGTTGCCTCTGATACATTATGTAACCTTTCGCGTCGAGGGTTGCAGTCGCAGGATTTCGTTTCCATGAATTACGAAAACGATCGATCAGATGCGCCCGCGATGTGACAAACTGGAGGACTCGCCTTTTTATTCCTTTTTTTTTCAACCGTTCCACGCTAATCCTTTGACCCGATCATCCGATAAACCTCGAGTCATTGAAAAGCGAATCGAACGCCTGACGCGGCAATCAAAGCTATAAACATTCTTGAAACTCACCCGGTGAAAACATTCACGACTTCCGATGAAATTCTTGGGATAAAGGAATGCATCGTTTACCTCGGGCTCGGTATCGCGCCGCAAATAAGAGATAGAAGAAAAAGAAGAGGTGTATCGGAGGCTTTCCCACGTCGATGGAACTTCCGTCAGCGGTATCAGAGCCGTGTTATCTTCGGAAACGAACGAGGACGAAAGTGGTTGGTGAATCGTCTGTTGACACAGAGGACTCGGATCAGGCTTCTCCTAAGCTCTCTTTTCGCGGAGATCCTCTTGCTATCTTGTCCAGTATCTCTATCCCCCAATGGCAAAGGTTATTTGCGAACGATAACCGTGTGAAACGAGAAGGATTTCAATGTTTTCTCTTCTTCTCGTTGCGGGAATTCTTCGACGAAACGTGGCAGAGGTGCTGGTCAAACTCGTGGAAGGCTCTGTTAATCCTGCTGAAGACGTCCGGTAAATATTTGGAGTTTAAAGAAGATTTCAGTTATCTATGGTCAGAGATATTCTATGTTTTCGTTATTTCTTATAATTCAAACTTCTCTCGCTATTGTTCGATAAATTGTCTATTTAAAGACCGACGAAGCGACGTTACTTTTCGAGGATATCAAGCGATTTCAACGTCAGATCGTTGGAAGATCCCCAGGTTCGTCGAGAGCCGGGCCTGTTATCGTGCATCTCGTACCAACAGAGTCCAACTCTTGATAGCATCTGCTCGTATGGTCGTCCGTGGACATTGATTTTCCATAAATACAGATGCGATGCTAATTAGCTGCCAGCTGCACTTGACATGCTCGTTTCTCGTTACTCCGACGAAAGGCGTGTCCTCTGGAATCACTTTTATATATACAATAAAATTCCAGATTCAGTTTGCCGAGTTTGCTGGACTCGTAGACATTCCTGTTTCAACTTCCGCGTGTCTGGACGTTTAATGGTAAAATAACTGTATCGATTTCGTACCGGTACCGAATGGACCGACTGGAAAATATATTAGCGCGTTTCAAGCGTGAAAGCTTTCGCTATTGAAAGATATTTAGTATAAACTCAACTTAGCAACCGTTAACCTCGGTACGAGGCTATTCTTATCTAGCCATAGATAAAAGAGAAAAAAACAGTTCTTTCCCAGTAACGAGCCATTTTATTCTTACCCTCCTCGTTTTTACGATTTTCGAAAAAAAAACATGATTTATTACTGCGATCTCGACCCTCCTTCTATTACCACTGGAAACTACCAGTAAATTTCTTTTTTTTTTATATATAGGCGTTTCGTTTTTCAGGAGAAAGTTCCAAGATTTCAGTCAAGGAACATAAATAATTAATTTTCTTCCACTGTTTTCCCGGACGTTTACGAGCAGTCGGACAGTTTCGGGTTGACAGAACGAGTCGTTGGGTTTTCCACAAACGACTCGACCATATTTGTCACGCTCCTGGATCGAATTTCCTTCGTTTTCCTTAGGGATGCACGCGGTCGACCTATCGGTAGGATCTTGGCCCGAAAGGTTACTCGTTTTTCTGTCCACCTTGCCTTTTGCAAGAATCTTCTTGTCACGTTTGTAATATCAGAAGGATCGAGAAAAAGGGACGTCGTTCCCTTTCGTCTAATTCAAAAGGAACGATTTCGTGGCTCTGAGCATTCCAGTTTGCAGATTTTTCAAGCAACGTTATGTCTGTCCAGGAAGAGATTCTTGGAGGGCTGGCGTGTCTCGTAGATCGCGAGGTTTATGGAACGGTGCCTCGGCACGGCAGATGATTTTGCCACTTACGACATCGTGGCTCGATCGTTCGAGTGCTTACGTTGAGGTGGCGACTTATCGATCCGCTCTTTGTGCCTCGTGCATACACACACACACACGCGCCGTACGTAACCCCGAAAGGTCGTGCTGATTTGCATACACCATGTTCGACTTGGTTTCTGTCCGCGAACCTTTTCTTTCTACCTGTCTCCTTCGACCGGTTAACTATTCGCCGATGGTCATTCTTTATCGATGTCAATCACGATCGGTTCATCTATTTTAGATTAATTCATCTTTACTCAATACGCGTTAAAGAATTCATAGGTACTCACTTCGGTTCGTTTGATCGAGGATGAAAAAAGATATTTCCAAAGTCGACTGGCTGACTTCTGAAGCCAGGAAGAGACGCGTTCAGCCAACTCGAGGGGGGGGGGGGGGGGGGGGGGGGGGGGAGAGGAAGAGTTGATCCTTAGGAGGATGAACGCGAGTAGAAGTCGATGCACTTAGGGCTACGAGGGATAAAGCTCCGGCACTGTCAGTGGGCAGGGTGGGACGAAGGGTGGACCAACCGGTCCTTGGTCCGAGAGAGCCTGCCTCGGCTTATTCAGTCAACGAACTCTGGGCCCACGACGTGACACTGACCCCTCTCCAGGGTAAACGTCCCTGAACGGGTCGCTTTATCAATGTAAACGGTGGTCCAAGCTGGAAAAATGAAATGCTGTTGAATTTTCATCCTTCGATTACTCCAGAATCACTTATGAAGAAATTTCAATCTCCAGGATATTTGAAAATTTCAATAATTCGTTCATCTCGAATAATATTTCAAGCGCAGGATGTGCATCACGGCTTTGGTGCTCGGTAACACCCTATAGATACAGCGAGACGCACAGGGTGTGTCTTTGGCGACACCGTGTGGATAACGTAGGACACACCCGGTGCGTCGCCGGTGTTAAACTCGTTAAGAAGCAAGATTGTCCGTTGCTGATTCATTAATTAGCCGGCGGCTAGAGGGACGAGCGAGCGAACGAGCGAGAAAGCGGTAAAAACCGTTGTAACAAGACGGAAAGCGGCAGCAGGAAGTGGCTGGTAATTGACGATTCTTCATAACGGAACCCCTTCCCTTTTATTCTCGCGCCGTAGCGACAAGCTCGTCGATGATAAATCGATTTTTTTTTATCCTACCATATTCGCCAATTCGGATAAGTTTCCAAATAGCCGCCCCAAAATTGAGAACTCGGGTTCGGTATATAATCTAAATTGACTACAGGAAACCGATTAAAGTTGATTTCAGAACTGGATGTCTTGCCGGTTTTGAGATATCGTGGTAAGAAATTTTTGTACAATTTTGGGACTACGTATGCGCTATTCGATACTGCGCATGCGCCATTCAATATTGCGCATGCGCTATTCAATACTGCGCACGCGCTATTCGATCCTGCGCATACACGGAACCTAACCTATCCTAACCTAACCTTACCACGATATCTCGAAAACGGTAAGACATCCAGCTCCGAAACCAACTTCAATCGGTTTCTTGTAGTCAATTTAAGTTATATACCGAATCTGAGTTCTCAATTTTGGGGGGGCCATTCGGAAACACAGCCGCCATTTCTAGAACCCGATCCCCCACCTCCATGATTATCTGCCCAACGATTTACACAGCTCTGCTATCTGTGCGGAACCGTGTAAGAATGGAAAGGGTTAAAAGGAGGTGCGAACGGGATAGAAAATTATTTTCACCGAAGAGAATGGAGCTGTGGCTATCTCTGCCGCACCCTGCACCGAATAAATTGCTGGAACGCTTGCAACGCGGCTGGTGGATAGAATAAAAAGAGATAAAGAGAAAGAGAGATAGAATTGAATGGGCATCGTTGGCAGTCGCACCTTGCAACGAGCAGGGCCTCGGTCGATTAAGTCGATTGGATAAAGAGCCGAACAGGGAGAGAGACGGTGGAACCGGTGATCTCGTTGGTGGTGGCCCCGATGTATGTATCTATAACCGTGTTCCACGGTCATAGGCGCGTGGATTGCTGCAAACGAGAGCCCAGCCGTCGCTGACTTGCCCGGCAACTCTACCCTGCCACTTCTGCATTCCTTTCTATGCCTATCCCGTCTTCTATCTTCATTGTCGCTAGCCAGATTCCAGAATTTATCCTCTCTAACTCAATTCCTGAACGAAGCCTCTATTCCGATTCATCTCATTCATCCTGGATGAATCTCGTTGGATTAAGTATGGATCAGCCGATGCACCTGGAACGACGGTGAACTGATTAGGAGGTGAACCGCGAGTCCTTTGATATCGAACAGTCGCACACAGCTAATTTCCAACGAGTAGAAGATTCGCATGAACTGCGTTCACAAGCGAAGCGGAAAATTTAACGAGACAGCAGTTGGCACGCACTTGGAGTCCTCGATTTACACGCCGTTACGTGCCGCATCGAGAAATGCACTTTCAATGACGCACCAGGTGCGGCTTACAAAGAGAACAGAAATCGAAGAAACGCGGAAAATCAGGATCTATTAATACGGCCGAGTGGTCGAGCAAGATTGTAAGCGAACAGAACGCGTCGGCGATCGTTCGCCAAGCAGAACGAAGAATTTCAACGTTCCCGCTGTCCTTTTCCCGCACCTGTCGCGCAGGTATTCGAGCAGGGACACAAGCGATTACCCGCGTTTTTCTCGTCCGAACGATTAATAACGCGCCACCGCGACACGCTCCGCAATTACGCGCCGGTTCGACGCGGACCAATAATCCTTTCGTGTAAACTTCACACCGGTGAAGGATTTACTTAACTTTTTTTTTGAAAGAAATTCCAAAATTGATAGGAGCGTATTCGCAAGAACGGTGCATGCAGTGACGAGTTAATAATAGGAACGAATCTGACGTTATCTGCTCCTGCTCGAGTCGTCGACGACGAGGATGACGACGACGTCGACGACGGCATAACACGCGTCGTTACGTGTTTACGAGCACGAAGCAAAGTGTAAAGCTATCACAACCTTCGACTCGTTAGTTCAGATTTCACACTGGGCCGTTCATGATATCCATCCTGGTGTTACTGTTCCTATTGTTTCCTTCAACCAGGTTTCAACGTTTCAAACTTGTCGGTAATTGGAGTTAGATATTCCAGGAGATTCTTAATGAGCCAACTAATTAGTTCCACTGGCTGGATGTTAAGTTTGTGTATCATCAAAATGGCAACGGTGAATAACGTTAATTATTATTAGCCGGAATTAATTGTATGCTCGTTTGTTGCTCTCTACTTGGACGTGATTGCTATTCTATCGATATCGTTGAGTTTCAGACGGTCGTCCAACACCGGGAAGGTATGTTCCTCCCCGTTCGTCTATGTTTAAACTCCACCGTGTCGAAAATAACCTCGTGGCTTTCGCTCGGCGTTGTCGCATTCGCCAGCGACACGTCTCTTCCTCTTAGTGGGCGTGGATCCGCCGATGGAATGCGCATAAAATTACTCTAAAATCTTCTTTTCCTGTGACCGCTTCCGCTGGCCAGTCCAGTTGCTTTATCTTTACGCGTTGATCCAATTAATGGGATCTTGTATGACGTTTTCGAAACATTTTCATGACGATCCGAGTAACAGACTGCTTCTCCTTAGCTTACAGTTTCAGAACTCTAACATGATTCTAAGTTAACGTGGAATCTGTTTAACTTTAAGTATCAGACCTTGGTTCCATTTAGCATAGACCATTGAGCCTTGGATTCTACTTAGCTTGTTCTATCGAAGCTAGATTCTACTAGAAACTTCTCGACGCATACAGCGGGTGATCAAATTATTAGAGTCACTCGCATAAATTGATGATTTTACATAAAAATCATTCATTCTTAAACGAAAATCGAGATAAACCGTATTTGAATAAAGTTGAATAAAGTAAAAGTTCTTGACTGGCTTGGAAATTCTCCGGACCTCAACCCCATTGAAAATTCATGGAAATATTTATTATTAGTAATAAACGTAAATTGATTGAACGTTTGATAAAAGTATGGGCCAGAAATAAAGCAATCAAAATGAATTGCTTAAAATTGAAGGAGTAATTAAATATTACTTTTAATCCAATGTAAAAACCTTAAAAACAAAAAACCTACTATTCATACCGTGGCTCTAATAATTTGATCACCCACTGCATTCACCTTTTTCCCCAACGAATGAAATTATAAATAACTATCTCCAGAGATCAAGGACGAATTTTACATTGTCCACTATGTTATTTTTACCCCGGGACCCTTGCAAAATCCTCCTCCGAGCGAGGCATGCGTTTCATAGGCATCCTTCAAGGAAAATATTGACGAGATATGCTGCGTCGCGCCGTTGTATGCATTATTCAAACAAGGAGTCCGCATCTGAATGTCCAACGCTTAAAATCGTCGTAAAGCATCTGTTTTATCTCATCCTCTATCCTGGTGACCAAGAACATCGCTGAAAAAAAAAAAAAAAAAAAAAAAAAATAGAAATCATTCCAGAATTTTTCGAATCGAAAAAGAAATCTGAGAAATGATTGAATTAATTCTAGCGTTAATGAAGAGTCACGTTATCGATGAATCTGTTAGAGGCTTGCTCATCGGAACGACGATGAGCTTACACGGTCGTTCTCGAGCGCGCGTGCATTGTCAGAGGATACGCATATGGAGGCACGAGGTCGAGGGCCAACCTACATATTCATTGACAACGAGCCACTTGCTTCCGCTGTACGCTTCTTACTTTCAAATCACATTTAACGAGTATCGTGGCCATGCAGCCACGTTTCCCTTGGCTCGCATTCGATTAGCCAGCTAGGAAGAGAGCGCACGTGCGCGCGCATCAGGTGACGAGAGGTGATTTCCTCCGGGACCTAAACCGCTAGACTCCCCCCGTTACGATTTCCGGTACTAGAGCGAACCCTATGAATCCCTACCGAATCTAACCAACGAAAATCCAATGATTCCTGCAAAGAGGTTCGACGATTAGGAATCACGCTATCCCAGTCGTATGATTGCGTGCCGATGGTAAAATATGTCAGCAAACAGATTCTGCGACGAGCGATCGTCTTTCTGGCATAGCAACGGTCGTCGATGCCTCTATACATTCAAGGATTCGAAGTCGCGAGGCGTTTGACATGCGAATCAGGTTTATAAATACATCGGCACCGACAGAAATTCCGTACGATTGGAAAAAGCAATTGGCGGAGAGTGAGAGGTTATCGGCGTTAGGTCTCTACGAATCGAGGCAGAGTCAGGGGTGTCACGGTTCGCCGAGAAACACCGCGTAAACACCCTATCTCTGCTCGCTACGCGTAATAACCGACTGATAACACACGTGGAAAGCTTTGCTAATCGTTCCCTATAGCGGGCAGATTAGGGCGACGTTAATGAC